TGATTTGTTTCCAGTTTATGTGGTACTGAGGAATCAAACCCTGGGCTTCATACATACTAGGCAAGCACTCTAACACTAAGCCACATTCCCAGCCCTAATGCTTATATTTTTAACATTTCTTCTGAGATTTCCACTCTACATATTATTTAGAAATGTGGTAGATTATGCCAGAACCTGGCATGCTGAAGAAAGATTTAGAGTTCCACACCTGCTTGGGCTACATAGCAAGACCATCTCCAAAAAATACTGCATGTAGGTTAATTTCCAACTGTCTAGAGATACATCTGTTATCTTGTGCTATTTATTTCTAGTTTGATTCTATTATGTCCAAAGAACAAAGAACATTTTTGTAGTCCACAGTGTAGTCTCTCTTGCTGTCCATCCATGGGCACTTAGGATGACCTGCTTTGAGCATCAGTGAGAGTCTATCACTTGATGGAGGTGTTGAAATCTCTGCCCTTGTTCATTTTCCATTTAGTTGTTCTATCAGATAGTACACTGGTGTTGAAGGGTTTGACTGTAATTATATTTGTCTGTTTCTCCTTCCACTTGTCAGGCTTTTCCACTGGTTTTTGCTTCACATATTTTATAAGTCTGTTGTTTAGTGCAGACATAGTTAGGATGACCAGTTTGTCTTAGCAGATGGACTTTATGATTCTATATGCCTCTCTTAGTCTCTCATCATTATTTTGTTGTGATGTCTGCTTTATCTGATATTTATATAGCCCCGTTTCCTTTGATTAATATCTGCACTGTGCATGTTTTACTATGCTTTGATTTTCAATCGGTCATACTGTTATCTTTGAAGTGAGTTTGTTGCAAATAGGATATAGTTGTGTTAGGTGATAGGTTGTATGTGTAGTTAGATTGTGTTGTTGGTTTGTTTTAATGTGTTTAGTTAGTTTGTGTAGTTTAGTTAGATTGTGTTAGGTTGTGTGTTTAAGGTTAGATTGTGTGTAACTAGATTGTGTTTTTGCCATTCCTGGGGCTTGACTCAGGGCCTGGATGTGGTCTCTGAATTTTTCTCAAGGCTAGTGCTCTAACAGTTGAGCCACAGTTCCACTCCAGGTTTTTTTTAATCAGTCCTAGGACTTGAACTCAGGATCTGGGCACTGTCCCTGAACTTCTTTTGCTCAAGGCTAGCACTCTACCACTTGAGCTACAGCATCACTTCTGGCCTTTGCTGTGTATATGGTACTGAGGAATCAAACCCAGGACTTCATCCATACTAGACAAGAAATCTACCACTAAGCCACATTCCCAGCCTCCATTCCAGTTTTTGGTAGTTTGGAGATAAGAGTCTCATTGACTTTCCTGTTGGTCTGGCTTTCAACCACAATCCTCAGATCTCAGCCTCCTGAATAGCTAGGATTACAGGTGTGAACCACCAGCACATGGCTTGGGTTGTGTTTTTTAATTCACTCATCAATCTTTAAATTGGTATATCAAGTTTTTTATTGGCCTATTTAGATCACTTAGGGCTAATATAATGATGGGCATGTTTGTATTTAAGTCTGCTGTTTGCTTTGCTGCTGTGAGGTTGTGAATCACCTGGAAATTCGCTCGTCTTGACCTAAGCAAGGCAGTTCTCCTGCTCCTGGGGTTAGCTCGCTGGCCGAGGCTGGACACTCCAGCTGTCATTACCGAATAGAGAATTGTTCCAAAGCAGATTTAAAAAAAATTAGATTAAGATCTGAACACAAGGCAAGTAAAATTGAAGTTAATCATTGACTGTTATCAAAGCCAGACAATTGCCAGACATGAGAGAAAAGCACAGGATAGCATGTGAGGAACGGTGTAGACTACAAAATGGCCTGGTAGGAAAACACATACTGCTGAAAAAAAAAAAAGTAAGAGAAAAGTAAATCTTTCAAAAAGAACCTTCCAGAAACTGGGCGCTGGTGGCTCATGCCTGTAATCCTAGCTACGCAGAAGGCTGAGATCTGAGGATCATGGTTCAAAGCCAGCCCAGGCAGGAAAAACCCTGTGAGACTCTTATCTCAAATTAACCACCAAAAAAACCAGAAGTGGTGCTGTGGCTCAAGTGGTAGAGCGCTGGCCTTGAGCTGAAGTGCTCAGAAATAGTGCCCAGGCTGTGTTCAAGCCCCATGACCGACCAAAAAAAAAGAATCTGCCAGTGGTAAGAGGTCATCGAGATGTTCCAAGGGACAGGTCTATGTGTGTGTGTGTATACATGCATGCCAGCACCAGAGCTGGAACACAAGGTCTTATGGTCCTCTTTGGCTTTTTCACTAAAGCAGAAAATCAGAATCATGTTAAAAGAAAGAGAAGACATGCTCTTGGTGTGGTTCTGGATTGTCAGACATGAAGATCATTATGGCTGGGATAAACTTGAAGGGTGATTCCTGTCACCAGGCTGCATGGACAGAAGGTGGAATTCGATACTAATAGCAGACTCCTTAATTCTTGTCAGTGGAGGAAGTAATGGGTAGTGGAGAGGATATTTGCCTCACATTCTGGAAGGAGGGTAAGGACAATGGGTCCTCTTCTCAAGAACTTCCCCTTTGGAAGTAGAGCTCTGTGTGTGTGTGTGTGTGTGTGTGTGTGTGTGTGTGTGTGTGTGTGTGTGTGTGCGCGCGCGCGCAAGCGCGCGCATTTGCAAGTGGTGCTTGTGTGCAAGTTCTAGAGCTTGAACTCAGGGCCTGGGCACTATTCCTGAGCTTTTTTGCTCAAGCTAGTGCTCTACCACTTGAGCCACAGCTCCATTTTCCACTTTTTTTTTTTTGGTGATTAATCAGAGGTAAGATTCTAACGCACTTTCTTTTCCCAGCTGGCTTAGAACCATGATCTTCAGATCTCAGCCCCCTCAGTAGATAAAGTTATGGGCATGAGCCACTGGTACCCAAAGACTGTGAGACTCTTCCCCTCCACTTAATCACCAAAAAGCCATTAGTGGAGCTATGGCACAAGTGGTAGGGCATCAGCATTGAATGAAAAAGTTCAGGACAGACCAAACCCTGAGTTCAAGCCCCAGTACCAGTGTCAAAAATAATTCATGGAGCCAGGCACCAGTGACTCAAAGCCTGTTATCCTAGCCATTCAGAAGGCTGAGATCTGGGGCTGGGAAGGTGGCTCAGTGGTAGAGCGCTTGCCTTGCATGCCTGAGGCCCTGGGTTCGATTCCCAGCACCACATAAGCAAAAAGAAAAAAGCCGGAAGTGGCGCTGTGGCTCAAGTGGTAGAGTGCTAGCCTTGAGCTGAAGAGCTGAGGGACAGCACCCAGGCCCAGAGTTCAGGCCCCACGACCGGACCCAAAAAAAAAAAAAAAAGAAGGCTGAGATCTGAGGATCGTGGTTCAAAGCCAGCTTGGGCAGAAAAGTCTGTGAGACTCTTACCCAGTTAAACAACCAGAAAACCAGAAGTAGTAGAGCTTTTGCCTTGAGCTGAAGAGCTCAGGGACAGCGCCTAGGCCCAGAGTTCAAGCCCTATGACTAACAAATAATCATAATCATAATTCATGAAAAAGTTAGGGATTTAGAAGTGTTTGGTGAGTACAAGGCCTTGAGTTCAGTCCTTAGTTTCGGGGGTCGGAAAGAGGGGATGCTGAAAATAATTCATGGAAAGATAAGGAGAAAACCACAGAAGTTAATTTAACACGTTTTTTTTCCCCTTTTTTTTCTTTTTTGTCAGTTGTGGAGATTGCTATGTCTGAGCTTTTGTGCTCCAGGGTGGCACTCTCCCACTCTGAGCCACAGTTTCACTTCTGGTTTTCTGGTAGTTAATAGGAGATAAGTCTCAGACTTTTCTGCCCCAGCTCAGCTTTCTAAATAGGATTACAGGCCTGAGCCACCAGCACCTAGCTAATACAAGTTTTACATGACACAGGACCCCATATGGAAATGAAGACCCAAAGACACAGAGACAAACACAAACACATATGCTGACTTAGAGGAGTAAAACTGACAAAGCAGAGGAGCTTGTGCTGGGTATAACTGAGAGCAAGGCTAGGAGGGTCAGGGTTATTGTAACAAGATATTTGTACAGAGTCCCCTCACCCTCCCATCTTTGATGATAAAAATGATACTTTTCTTCTGGTAAAAGAAAGATGTCCTGGGCACAGCAATTTTGTTTTCTTTCCCCTCACCCCCACCCCCATGCTGGGTATTAAACTCAGAATCTTGTGCATACTAAGCAAGTGCTCTACAAGTGAGCTACCTCCCTAGTTTTCATCTGATTTTCAGAAACTGTTTTACAAATACTTCTGTTTTACAAGTAGTTTGTTAGCGTGGTATGTATGGGTTTTTTTTTTGTTGTTTGATTTTTGTTTTCTGACAGTGTAGTCAGGGCCTGAACACTGTCCCTGAGCTTCTTTTGCTCAAGGCTAGCCCTTTACCATTTGGGCCACAGTGACACTTCCTGCTTGTGGTGCTGAGGCAGAGAACCCAGAGCTTCATGCATGCTAGGCAAGCACTCTACCACTGAGCCACATTCCCAGCCCAAGTGTGTTTTTTCTTAACTCTTTCCATTTCGAACTCAAAGTCGATGTCTATGGATCGTAAGTTCTATGGATCGTAAGTTGGGTCTAAGACCAATGTTTACAAAACAAATTTTGGCACCCCTCCCAGAATTAAAACAACAGCTCTAAACCAGAGGCGATGATGGGCACCCCCATGCAGTCACGATTGCTTTAGAAAGCTGGAGCAAGAGAGTCGCTTGAGCCTGCGAAACCACAACAAGCAGTCTCAAAGACAACAACAACTGGGAAACGGATACAGGAACCCCTCTACACACACACTGAGTGGTGGTAGTAAGCTGTCAAGTCATTGATTGCTCTGAACTGTAACGTTAAACCCCTTTAGAAATGTGGTCGTTGGGTCCATTCCATTGTGACAGACGGCAGAGAAACGAAAGTGCGTTCCGCCAGCAGGGGGCGCCGGAGTCCTCCCGCGCACCGCCCCCTCCGCCCCCCCCCCCGCCCTTCCCCCGGAGGCGGGCGCTCGCCCCCGCCCTCGCCGCTACTTCCGCTTCCGGGAATCCTAGCGCTCGGCATTTCCGGGACGCCGCGTGTCGTTCGCTCTCTCGAGATGGAGGCCTTCGCCGTCCCTGCCGCGCCGATGCTGCCGCTGAACCCGCAGGACGATTTCCAGTTTCAAGAGGACGTGGTGCCGGTGCGCCGGCGGCGCGTCACCAAGGTGAGCGGCCGCGGCCGCGGGCTGGGCGGCGGGGCTCCGCGACGGCGCGGGTCCGGAGGCCGAGGCGTCTGCCGCCGCCGAGCCTGGGCCGGGCTTGGCCGCGTGGGCCTTGGAGACTCGAAGCGGGGAGCGGGGGGAGACGCGGAGCCTGCGGAGCGCGCATGTCCCAACTGCGACGTAACCCCAGGACGTGGGGGGGGGGCGGGGGGACGTGGGGGGGGGCGAGGAGGGGGGACCGCAGGGTCCGGCGCTGCCCCGAGCTCCGTGCGCGCACGGCTACCCCTCTACCTCCACTTTGAGCCCCAGCACCGCCTCCGGCTTTCTGAGCGGTTCCTGGGACACGAGAGGCTCACGGAGACTTCCTGCCCCGGGCTGGCTTCGAACCGCGATCCTCGGTTCTCAGCCCCTGGAGTAGCTAGAATCACAGGCGTGAGCCTCAAGCACCCGGCTCCAAGTCGCTCACCCGTGTTATTAAGCCCGGTGGGTTTCGGAGATCGTGGAAGACATAATTGAACCGCCGGTCGTTGTGGCCCCCATCTGTAATCCCGAGCATCTGAGAGATCAGAGCGCGAAGAGGGCCAGCGGACGGCCCGACCCGGGTGCCAGAGGATTTGCCCGAGTAGTAGTTTCCAAAAAGAGTACCTAACATGAAGTTGATCACGTGTGCCCTGGGTTTTAGCATAAAATACTCTCGGTCTGGAAGGTAAGGGTTGATGCCTGAGACTCGGTTTAGTCAGTATTGACCTCCTCAGAGATTGATTAACCAAGTTATAGCTGAACAATTAGACGTGGGACGTTCCCCAGGCACATTTAAAGGGGCACGCGAAGACATTTACTATTTACTCATTGACTCAACCACACAAAGTGCTGGGTGTGAGGCTGAGAAAAACTGACTGCTTGACAATAGCCATCAGACTGCCACTATTGAATTCCTGTGCTGATGACTGGAAATGTTTATCTGGTCTTTATGTCTTCAGCAGAAAAAGCAAGAGAGTCTTACTCGAGGAGTGATCTTTGTGGGCCACCTACCTAAAGCAATTTATGAAAATCAGATCCAGGCTTATTTCTCCCAGTTTGGCACTATTACAAGATTCAGACTGTCCAGAAGTAAAAGGGTAAGTTTTTGAAAATCAAATTCAGTTGTTTGTTTTTCAAATGTGTATCTTCCTGTACAGTTATATTCACATACTGCTGTATCTGGACTTCACTCTGGAATGAGGGGAATGAAGTTTAGATTTTGAAACAGCCTTAAGAGAGAACATCAACATTATTCTGCATATTTGTTTTTCTAATTACCTGGAATCCTTAGGTTAAATCAACAGAACTAGTGAATGCAACATTCATTCTTTGGCTATTAAGCCCAGGGTTAATAAAACTTGAGTTAAGGTCTATGCATTGCTATTAGTTTTCCCAGCTTAAGCCATATCTTGTAAGTGGTGTGATTATCTCCATAGTCATGTTACCAGTTTTTATCCATATCCAAAAGTGAATAAGAAATTGTAAAATACTTCTAGCATTGAGGGCTTGACTTCTTTTAAACATTTAGAGTTTGTTCATGATGAGTGTGGCTATTTCATAGTTGTTTTATGGAATAAAAAGACTTAAGTTTTACCCAAGTATCAAAGCCAGAAGCCAGTGTAGGTATTGAAGTCATGTATACTTTATATTAAGACAAGTGAAAAAAAATCTGCTTACAGGGTGGCACAGAGGGCAGCTGGGGGCATGGGTTTCAGGGAATGCCAGTGCTCTTCCTTTAAGTGAACACTCACTGTTAAACATGAAATGAGACAAGTGCTTTTTGATTAGCTCAGTGACAGTGAGGAGTTAAGTTCTTCTCACTGGTTAGGTATAAAATGGAAGATCATGCTACTTTGTTTTTTCCCTTTGGTACTAGAGATTTTTGAACTTAGGGCCTCATCCATTCAAGTCTTTACTACTAAGTATACCCTCTTTTAAAATTTTATTCTGAGACAATTATGTTAAGTTGCCTGGTTTGGCAAGTAAATAACTCAAGGACTGTGGTTGCCTGTGGCAACCTATCAGATTTCTTTTATGCTATGAAATGTTGCTGCTGAATAAATTCCAGCCATGGTAGTTATATATTAACTATGCATAAACAAAAATCCCAGGAGTAACTTGAAGATTGGCTGCATTTTCAAACTATTAAGGCTGTTTACTTTTTTTTCCCCCCTGGCATACATTAGCTGAAGTTGAAATTTGAGATACCATAAAATGATTTGTTACAGAATTCATGTTTATTACTTAAATTAATGATATGCTAGAAGTTTGGTGACTTGTTAAAATTAACTTGTTTTGTGGTGGGTTTTCCATTGCAGACTGGAAATAGCAGAGGCTATGCGTTTGTGGAATTTGAATCTGAGGAGGTAGCCAAGATAGTTGCCGACACCATGGACAACTACCTTTTCGGTGGTAGAATGCTAGTGTGTAAGTATCGTACTGTACATGGATGCCTCCTGTTGGGTCAGTGGCATTGGAAGAGGCAGCTGTGTAGTTGCCTGAACATGCTACTTCCTCTGGTTTGATTCTGCTAGGACTTGGGTATGTTTTCCGATTTTCAACTTTGTCAGCCTGAGTGTTGTTCTGCAGTGAAGTGGAATTTGATTTGGTTGTGCCTGAGAAGGGCAGCTGACCTCATGCTCCATTGGTGCTGAGGAAGTTCATTGATGAGAGTAGAGTGCAGATTGTGTTCCTTGTGGCTGAGGGGACAGTGAATGCCAGCGACTGACAGTATTTCACCTTGAGACATGAAAGAGCAGAGAGGCTGCACCTCAGATTTGTGAAGGCCTTACAGACAGGAGTTGGTTGGTTTGTTTTTTGGTCCAGTCGTGGGGCCTGAACTCTGGGCCTGGGTGCTGTCCCTCAGCTCTTCAGCTCAAGGCTAGTTAGTACTCTACCACTTGAGCCACAGCGCCACTTCCGGCTTTTTTCTTTTTGCTTATGTGGTGCTGAGGAATCGAACCCATGGCCTCAGGCATGAAAGGCAAGCGCTCTACCACTGAGCCATTTTCCCAGCCCCCCCGCAGACAGGAGTTGGGAATGTATTCTCAGGGCAATTCACAGCAGTTAACGGGTTCTAAATAGGCTCATGTCAGAAGCAAGGAATTTCAAAATCATTTTAAATGACTTTGAATGCATCTCTTCACACAAAAGAAGCCATAAAGAGGAGTGACAGCACCAGATTAGAAATTTATCCTACAGAAATGAGCAGGTAGTCGCTGACATTGTCATGCCCATAATGTATCACAGGGGGCTGGAGGTCAATCTATGAGAGCGGGGCTCTTGTAAATGCCAGTGGCTTGTGTCTTTCATCCTTAGCTACTGGGGAAGCTGAGATCTGAGGATTATAGTTCAAAGCTGGCCTGGGCAGGAAAGTCTATGAGACTCTTAATTCCAATCAACAACCAAAAAGCCAGACATAGAAATAATAAAAGCATGAGTCTGGAAGTGGCATTGTGGCTCAAAGTGGTAGAGCACTAGCTTTGAGCAAAAGAGCTTAGGAGGACAGTACCCATGCCCCTGAGTTCAAGCCCCGCAACCAACCCCCCCCCCCCCCCCAAAAAAAATGCATCTTCATTGAGGTCTGGGGGGGAATGGGCTGGGTGGGACCAAATGTGTTTCCTGTAGTACCAACTAATACTGTGCCTGAAACTTCTGTCCAACGCACTAGCTGACTAGGGTAGAATTGACAAACTTATTCCTCCAATGTGCCGTATTATCTTGATTATGACATGAGAAATGTTTCTGGGGAAATTTGAAAATTAAAATTCTTGTTTAAAACTTTTACTTTTTAAAAAACAGGTCGTTTTATGCCACCAGAAAAAGTACACGAAGAACTTTTTAAAGAATGGAATATTCCATTTCGTAATCCCACATACCCAGCAGTGAAGCGCTATAATCAAGAAAGGGATTTTGCACAAAAGATGCGGATGGAAGCACGGTTTAAAAGGAAAGAAACCTTACTCAGGAAGAAATTAGCTGCAAAAGGAATTGATTATAGCTTTCCTTCATTGGTAAATTTTTTTTTATGAAATATCTGTTGATTTTCTTTATTATCTACTTTGAGATATTGAAAGTAATCTACTAACCACAGCCATAATGCTCTTAGATTAGCATCTAAAGGTGACATTACTAGAATTAAGTTATATTTGATCTGGTACATACTATCAGTAAATATCAAAGCCATAAACATCTTTTATCTTTTGTACTGTTACTGGGACTTGAACTCAGGGCTTAGCTTTTCTCAAAAGGCTGGTGCTCTACCACTTGAACCATACCTCATTTCTGGCTAATTGGGAAAAAGCATCTGATTTGTCTGCTCAGACTGGCTCTGAACATTCATCATCTATTTTGCCATTTTAGTTTGGTGATACTGGAATTTGAACTCAGCCTCACACTTGGCTTGGCAGGTGTTTTACTACTTGAGCCACACTCTTGGTTCTATTTTGCTTTAGTTATCTTTCAGATAGAAATCCACCTACCTAAGGCCTCCTACATAGCTTGTTCATTGAGATGTGGTCTTGCTAACTTCTTGCCTGCTCTGGCCTTAACCTGTGATCCTCCTGTTCTCTGCCTCTTGAGTAGCTGGACTTACAGGCTGCCATGCCCAGCCCTTTATGCTCTTTTATATTGGAATATATATGTATCAGGATTATTTAGTAAATATCAAATAGAATTAAGATGCAGAAAAATTGAACTGCAGGAGCCAGGATAATGGAATATGTAAATTCTATTTCTGAATTTCTTGCTTGCAAAGAAATAAGAATGGGAAGGGGGTTTGCTGGATCTCTTCCCTATCGCAGTAAGGAGAACTATATAATTTATTATAAAGTGAGTGCATGATAGAAGCCAAGTGGCTCACACCTGTAATCTCAGCTACTCAGGCTGAGGTCTGTGGTCTGAAGCCAGCCCAGGCAGGAAAGTCTGTAAGACATAGGAAAATGCAGCTGATCATTGTGCAAATTCTTAAAAGTTTTCAATTTTTATTTCAAGATTATATCGAAGAGAAAGGGTTCAAGCATGCCTAAGCAGAAGAAAAACAAAGTTGCTGCAGAAAGCACCCCTGAGAAGTCTGTGGATAGCCAGGTATGATTGTCTTTCTATTCTGGGTATCCAGCATTACAAAAGTCATTTGAAGGAGGAAAATGTTCTATCATTTCATTTAAGATTTCAGATTTAATCTTGGTGACCATATTGGTAGGTCCTTAACCTGGTGATTTAGCAATTAAAAAAAAATCCAAGACCTTATAATTGAGCATTTTTTTCATTAGCAAATTTCTAAACTAAATTTAATAGGCGTCTAAGCTTTATGCTATCTGCAGTTGTTTCAGCAAAAGATGAAAACAAGCCTAAATAACATGATACAGCTTGTAGAGACAGAAAGGATGTTATACTTTGGGATAAAGTTATTTCTTATGTCATTCCACACTTACATATGCTAATCTGTTTATTCTAGGGCCCCACCCCAGTTTGTACACCATTTTTGGAGAAACGAAAATCAGAAGTGGCTGAACTGAGTGACAAAGATGATGAAATCGTTTTTAAACAGCCTGTATCCAGTGTGAATGAAGAAATAAAAGAGACTCCAACCCCTGCACAGTCAGGGAAAAAAAGACGAAGACGAAGAAAAAGCAATCTATGATTCTGAATGCATTATGCATAATCTTGTTATAAGGGCTGTCTTGTATAATGTACAGTGAAATGCCTATTGATGTGCGTTTGGGAGAAAAAAAAGATAACTGTTTCTACTGGTTAAAAAAAAAAAATGTGACCAGACTGTGCTGTGGAATTAGAGGGGTACATCCTAGCCTGCAGGAGGTGGGCTCACTTGGCCTGTCCAGCTCTCTTGTTTCTGACCACATAGAGGGATCACTGGTAACTTGGCATGTGCGTGTAAACCGCAGCCTTCTTGTCATCACCAGGGTGGTGGTCCCTGGCCATTCTTACAGGCTGTGCCTCTTACCCAAAAATATTTCAAGCTTCTCATACCAGGTAGCTAAATAGAGACTAATTAGATGAAGAATGAGAAGACAGTTCAGGGGTTAATACAAATGCAGAATTGAAGTATTTTCACTAAGAATGTTAAATTAGTTTCTGGGGGCTGGCATGTATCTGATATTATCATTCTGAGTCATCTATAGAATTTGAGATTTAATAAGCCGCAAATAGTTTTTCTATAAATTATTCCTGTACAAGTAGGAACTTTGAAGAATAATGTCAAGTATCCTACTCGCCTGTCAAGGTGTGTTTATATTTGCTCATCAGGATTCATTAAAATTTTATTATTTGTAATGCAGTGCTGGACTAAGTGTTCTGATGGCACATACGAAGTATTGATATGGGTTGATATTAGGTGTATGTGAAGAGCAGGGCTATATCCTCGACAGTAGTTGTAGATACCCATAGCAGTTTGTATATATTGAATGTGTGGATAACAGCTCCCTACCTTGCTGGCCTACATCTGAACTTCATGCTGCTGATTTTCCAACTCTCCCTCTGGAAAAGCATTGGATAAGCTTCATCCAAGTTTAGGTCATGTCTCACTATCCCTAAGAGGCTTGTGCATTCAAATACAAGCTTGCCAGCTGGCCACCTACCTGCCCCCACCCACAGGCATGCTGCCATATTGAGCTCCTCACATTTTGTAATTAACCTGGAGCAAGGTGATTATATCCTTGCCCCTACCATGGATGCTTTTCTTCATTGTGGTTTGGTATGTGATTGCAGATCACTATACTAGATTGGCCTGAAGTACAGGTCATGCTGAGGGACAAAGCAAACATAGGACCATGGCTATGTGGTTTGAGGGTTGTTTTTTTTGTTAGTCGTGGGGCCTGAACTCTGGGCCTGGACAGTGTCAGCTCTTCAGCTCAAGGCTAGTGCCCTACCACTTGAGCCAGTTTTTTCTGCTTATTTGATGCTGAGGAATCGAAGCCAGGGCCTCATGCATGGGAGGCAAGCACTTTACCACTGAGCCAACTTTCCAGCCCCTGGTTTGAGGTTTTGTGTGTGGTGCCGGGGATCAAATCCCCAACTTGCCTGTGGTAGGCAAGTACTTTAGCTATACCCTTTAAGTTTTGTACATTTTTTAAATGGTTGGGGAATTAGGACTATGGCACGATTGAAATTTCAGTGTGGGGAAATAGGCTTTTTTGGAACTCAGCTGTGTTTCTATGCTGCAGGGATTGATGGTGATAGCGTAGTTCCCTGCTTAGCATTGCTGCTGAGTTCACTTTGGCTCTGCCGGGGTTTCAGCTTCATGCCTTATTAAAAACAAACTAGTATTGTCAAAACATTTTACACTTAATGACTGTACTAGAAAAAATAGGTGTGAGCCACTGGCACCCAGCTAAGATACACTACTAATAGTTTAAAAATAAAGCTGGGGCTGTGTGTTGGTGGCTAACGCCTGTAATCCTAGCTATACAGGAGACTGAGATCAGGATCACATTTCAAAACCAGCCCAGGCAGGAAATTCCCTGTGAGACTCCTCTCCAACTAACAACCAGAAAACCAGAAGTGGTGCTGTGGCTCAAGTTGTAGAGTGCTTGTCTTGAGCTGAAGAGCTCGGGGACCACCCAGAGTTCAAGCCCCACAACCAACAAGAAATAAAAATAAAGCTGGGTACTGGTGGCTCACACCTGTAATTCTAGCTACTAAGGAGGCTGAGATCTCAGGATTGTGGTTCAAAGCCAACCAGACTCTTCAGTAGCCACTAAAAACTAGAAATGGAGTTGTGGCTCAAAGTGGTAGAATGTTAGCCTTGAGCAAAAGAGCTTAGGGAGAGAGCCTAGGCCCTGAGTTCACAACCAACAAAAAAGTCAAATAATTTGGGATGGAGTTTTGGGGTGATTTGGTTTTGGCTCCCAATTTTTTTGTTACCAGTGTTTCTGTACTAAGCAGTTCTTTGCTTGAGAAGTCAATACCAAGCCATAAATGAGGAAGTGGCCCAAGTCTCTGGGGCTTGAACTCTAGGCCTGAGTGCGGTCGCTCAGCTCTTCAGTTCAAGGCTGGTGCTCTACCACTTGAGCCACAGTGCCACTTCCAGTTTTCTGAGTGATTTATTGGAGATGAGAGTCTCTCAGGCTTTCTATGCTCGGGCTGGCTTTGAACTACGATCCTCAGATGTCAGCCTCCTGAGTAGCTAGGATTACAGGCCTGAGCCACCAACACCCATCTCAATACCAATTTCAAATGTATGCTCTAGTCAGTCAGTTGACTTCAGGTTAAGGTGGAAGCAGCCATATAAAAGCATAACTTGTCATCTGCTCATTATTTTTTAGTGACTTTTTTTCTGTTGCAAGTACCACCTGAATAGTTAATATATGCAAATGATACAAGCCTTCACACAGTTCTATATGCAAATGATACGAACCTTCACACAGTTCTATATGCAAATGATACCTTCACACAGTTCGGAGTGGGGGAGGGTGTCCAAGAGACAATCAGGCTGTGTCCCACACTGCTACCCAATGGCTCCAGCCCACCACAGCCTTCCTGCTGCCCAGATGGCCATGTGCCCCTCCCACCTCTGTGTCTCCCACCTCCTGTGTCCACAACCTGTCTTTCCTGAATGCTCAATCCCTCCCCACCACGTGTGGTTTGGGCTGTGCTGTCTAATGTTCATCCCCAACAGGTCATTTTCAGAAAAAACAACTACCTCTATAAAACATGTTACTGAGCACTTGATGTTGTCACTCATGTACTTCATTTGCATTCATGGATTTGGCCATCAGAAAATATTAGCAGAAATGGAACCTGAGGACTATAGGTATGGATCAAGTGGTAGCATACCAGCTGTGACCAAAAAAGGCAAATGAGCACAAGGACGAGTTCAAGTCCTGGTACTGGTCAAAAGAAAAAGATAAAATACAGTCTTAAGCTAAATATCAGCAAGTGAATATTTATAGGCAATTTTGATGAACCCTTCACAACAAAGATTTGAACATTTTCCTAAATATGAAACTTCTTTAGGGCTGGGAAGGTGGCTCAGTGGTAGAGCGCTTGCCTTGCATGCCTGAGGCCCTGGGTTCTATTCTTTAGCACCACATAAGCAAAAAGTAAAAAAGCCAGAAGTGGCGCTGTGGCTCAAGTGGTAGAGCGCTAGCCTTGAGCTGAAGAGCTGAGGGACAGCGCCCAGGCCCAGAGTTCAGGCCCCATGACTGGACCAAAAATAAAAAATAAAAAAAAATAAAACTTCTTTAAAAAACTAAAACCTGTGGTTAGACAAGAACTGAGAGAAGATACCAAAAGCATAATTCATAAAATTAAAAAAATAATGAGCTTAAAATGAAATTTACTTGGTGAAGGCAGGGGATATAGCTGAGTGGAAGATCAGTTAGCTAACTTGAACAATGCTCTGGCACCAGAAGTAAATAAAATTGGTGAAAGATGAGAATGAAAAGACAAAACCAGCCTGGATAGAAATATTTGTAAAGAAGTTTTTACCCATAATAGACTTTTCAAAACAGCCCAGATTGTCATAGGGGAACAAACAGCCTTCTGACCATAAAATGGAAAATAAACTGGATATGATGATACATTCGTATAATCCTAACAGGATTGCAAGTTTAAGGCCCTCCTGAGCTACATAGCAAGATCTTGTCTCAAGGAAGGAGGGAGGGAAAAATAAAGACTACTGTTGAGCTGAGCCCTAGTGGCTCATACCTGTAATCCTAGCTACTCAAGAAGCTGAGATCTGGAGGATTGTGGTTTAAAGTCAAGCAAAACAAAAGTCAAAAAGGCTTGATCTCCAAAATAACCAGCAAAAATCCAGGGTGGAGGTGTGGCTCAAGGGGCAAAGAACCAAGCAAGCAAGCAAACAGCAAGAGCACAGGCACTGTATTCAAACTTTTAATTCTTGTGTTCCCATTTAAGGGCTCACATATGATATATGCTAGTAATTCACACTAAGTTTTCACATTTTAGCTACTTTTGTAAAAACACTAATCAGAACAACTCTGAAGTCGATTTGTTCACATAGTAGATTTGTTCACAGCTTTGTTCACACAACAGTGAATGGTACACCAGTTTAAATGACTTAAGCCTTTAGAATTTACATTTAACAGGGCTGGGAAGGTGGCTCAGTGGTAGAATGCTTGCCTTGCATGCATGAGGCCTTCGGTTCGATTCCTCAGCACCACATAAGCAGAAAAAGCCGGAAGTGGGCTGAGGTTCAAGTGGTAGAGTGCTAGTCTACAGCTGAAGAGCTGAGGGACAGCGCCCAGGCTCAGAGTTCAGGCCCCACAACCAACAAAAAAAAAAAAAAAAAAAGAATTTACATTCATCAGGATGGTCAGTAATGCTAGACATCTTCGGTGATGAAAAGGAAAGAAGCAAAAGCTTTGGTGAATGAAGCCTGTGACTTTAAAGGACAGAAAATGGAGTTGGCCAGGCATGGCCACCATTTATTTCCATTCTTAGGACTTCAACTTTGAAATAATTAATGATACCAACAATGAAACACTAGGTGGCAGTCGATCTAGCACAAAATCACATCGGGGTTAATAGCTTACTATTGTAAACCTAGCTAGCGACTCCATAGGCTGAGAACTGGAAGATGGTGATTCAGAACCAGCCAGGGGACAAGCCCAAAAGACTCTATTGCCATTTATCCAGCAAAAAACTGGAGTAGAGGTGTGACTCAAGTAGTAGAGCAAGCCAGCTGAGCCAAAGGTGAAATTCCCAAGTCTAGTATCAGCAAAAACAAAAAACCCTAAATCAAAATCATTTCTGTTTTTTTGTGTGTGCTGGTCTTGGGGCTTGAACTCCAGCCTGGTACTGTCTCTAAACTTCTTTTGCTCAAGGCTAGCACTCTACCACTTGAACCACAGCTCTATTTCTGGCCATTTTGTGTGTGTCGGGGGCGGGGGGGGGGGGGGGTTGTGGAGATAATTGTTTCACATACTTTATTGCTCTCGCTGGCTTCAAACTGGTATCCTCAGATCTCAGCGTCCTGATTAGTATTACAGGTGTGAGCCACCAGTCCCTGGCTGGAATTTGTGTAGTTTTTTGTTTGTTTGTTTGTTTTTGTTTTTGTCATGGGGTTTGAACTCAGGGTCTGGGCTCAGAGACCCTAAACATTTTTTGTTCAAGCCTAGCACTCTACCACATTGAGCCACAGCGCCACTTCTGGTTTTCAGGTGGCTAATTGGAGATAAAAGTCTCACAGAGGGCTGGGAAGGTGGCTCAGTGGTAGAGTGCTTGCCTTGCATGCATGAGGCCCTGGGTTCAATTCTTCAGCACCACATAAGCAGAAAAAGCCGGAAGTGGCGCTGTGGCTCAAGTGGTAGAGCA